ACTAGATCCAGTAGTACTGGTAGCATTTACTGTGGAACCACTAATGGAGCTGGTAGAGCTAATGTGAAGACCTTCAAACTCATTTTGTCCATTTTTTGTCTCGTTATCCTCCTCTTCATATCAGGAGATGTGGAGCTTAACCCTGGCCCCACTCTTACAGGTATTCATATTTTGGAGCTACATTTCATAACTTTGCTATCTATTGTGCACAGATAAGCCAAAAAGAGATGAATTATTTGAATTATTGAGTAGCTCAAAGTTTATTGCTGGTACTTGGGAACAGTTTGTATGTTGTCTACCTAAAATGACACAAGATATGATTGCTGGAATCAAAGAGAGAGTGTCGAAAGAAGAGAACATCATGAGTGCCATAGCTCAACATTGTTTTGATAATAATCCTGATATAACATGGAGAAATCTCATTGATGCTTTGCTGGATGCTAATGAGGTTACTGTAGCTCGTAATGTTTTAGACAAGCACTCAGGTATAATAGAGAGTTTTACACATGATGATTTCTTCATATATTTTAGGTACAAGTAGTTCTAGTAAAAATGTCTACAAAACAGTAATGAAAGTCCTAAGATCTCATTATTCAAAATTGACAGCAAGTACTCAAACTTGCCTTACAAAAGTAGCCGATGAGTTGTACAGTAAAAATTTGATCAATCGTGAAGTTAAGCATTCACCAACTTTTGAAAAAATTGAAATAGACTTCTCAGCAATGGTTTCTATATACACAGAAGACACAGAAAAGATGATAGAAGTGTGTTCTCTTTTCTTAGATTGTCTGTCAATTGCAGAAGGTCCAGCTAAAGAGGAGGCCATTGCACTAGCTAGAGACTGGGAGAATGAATTATTCAGAGACCATCAAGTATCGTTCTTTCTTACTAAGGCAGCCACAGCCTTTACTCCTAAAGAAGTAGAACTTGGCTTTAATGATAAACTAGCAATTGAACTTAGAAACCTACACAAGAAATATGCAAAACTGATGACTGATATTACTACATATTATGCTTCCAGTGGAAAACGTGATCCAATTGTTTTTGCTCGATGGGTTCAAAACACTTTTGATGAAACTGGTTTAGCACAAGATGGCGTGACGATTGATAAAATATTTGAGCAAATGCAATCTCATTGCAGTTTTATTGATATTGATGCAGTAATTGGTCTAATAGAAGCATATCCTATTGATGATGATTCACTACAGGCAAGGCTTGATAAATATACTGATAACATTAATAAATTTATCGATTCAACAGAACTCGATGACATTGTTAAAACTATTGAAGCAGCGATTATTGGAGAAACTATTAAAGTTGATCCTAAAATTATTCTCAAACTTTCTGGAAAATGGAACCATCAAACTATTGGCCATGTTCATAAGCTAATGAAGTATTTATTTGATGAAGAAGCAAAATATATTACTGTAAAGAAGTTTTTACGAGGATCAATTTGTATCCAATTTTTGGTCTTTTCAAAACGATCAGTTCCAACTCTCATTGTGAAATCACAAGCTAAATTTGCCTTCATGCATCTTCTTGGTATATTTCAACTGATCATTGCTAATCAAATTATCATTGACAGAGAGGAAGATAGTAGCTTCACATTTGAAGAATCACTTCTACAGTCCATTGCAAGTATTAAAAGTAATCCTGAATATCACAGACTATCATTACTTTTGATAGAACTTAAAATGAAAATAAATTATCAGAACACTAATGGCCAGACTGCATTAATGTTAGCTAGTGTAGATGGGCACATTGAAATCTTTCAATCATTACTACAAAATGGTGCTGATCCTTTTGTAAAATTACCAGAAAATAGAGAATTTATTGGATTAAACAGTTTAGCATGCACTGCCCTTTCTCAGCATATTTACAAATCCATTGGTGGAGAAAAAATAATACCTAAAGATGACACTTCAGTTGAAGATATTCTGGAAATGGCTGTTAACAAAAGAGAAGTGAGTAGTTATCAATCATTTAAATACGTTATTGAAAATAATTTGAAAAAAAGGTTTCAATGTTTGCAAAATTGTTTTCATGCATTAAACAGTCATTTTCTTGATGCTACCACCAAAATTTTGACTAGCAAAGCCTGGGTAACAGAACTAAAACAAAGCTTTCAGTCATACATCAAAGAAGATGCTGCTTGTGAAAATACTCATCAGCTAGTGCAGTTGCTCCAGCCTCACTACTCATGTTTGAACATCGCCCTACTCACAGTACCATGCACCATCACAGAATCTATCAAGGAACAGGTAGAAGATTACAATACTAACCTGAACATGTTCAAAGATACCACTAGCCTACTGGAGCTTACAATGATGACTAAAGGAATGCTATGCGGCTCTAATGATTTTGGCTGTTCAAAATTTATTTCGAGACTCAAGAAGTCATGGTGCTCCAAGACAATCACTGAATTGGATATAATGGGAAATTTTTATTTATCATCTTTTCTAACTCTGCAAGAAATACATTGTGATGCCTCCAGCATGACATGTACATACTTAATACCTCAACTACAAACTGAGAAATTAATGAAAGCAGTTATTGAACAGGAAGGGTCTCTAAACAAGATTGGTGTATTTGAGGTCATTATTAATGACATTCCTCTCACAATAAAGGATACAGATAATTTATCTTTAATTGAGGCCATGATGCAAAAATCAATGTCATATAATAGCACTGCCCTTTTGTTTGCTTGTGAAAGAGGAGATTTCTCAACTGTTCAATTATTACTGAGTAGAAATTTAGATGATGGATCGACTGGTTTGATGATGCTTGTTACATACATAGCTGCTTTGATGGCTGCAAGTCGCTATGGACATCACCAAATTGTTGAACTCTTGCTGAATAAAGTTCCAGATATTGATATTCAAGATGATAATGGACGGACTGCTTTGATAAGGGCTAGTTGTCATGGTCATCATCAAGTTGTTGAGCTCATACTAAATGAAGCTCCAGACATTGATATTCAAGATAATAATGGATGGACTGCTTTGATGCTTGCTAGCCATAATGGTCATCACCAGGTTGTAGAGCTCATACTGAATAAAATTTCAAATATTAACATTCAAAATAGAGATGGATGGACTGCTTTGATGTCTGCTATTTACAAAGGTCATAACCAGGTTGTCAAACTCTTACTGAGTAAAAATCCAAATACTAACATTCAAGATAATGATGGATGGACTGCTTTGATGTTTGCTAGTCGCTATGATCATCACCAGGTTGTTGAACTCTTACTGAATAAAGATCCAGATATTAACATTCAAGATAATGATGGATGGACTGCTTTGAAGTTTGCTAGTTGCTATGGTCATCACCAGGTTGTTGAACTCTTACTGAGTAAAAATCCAGATATTAACATTCAAGATAACGATGGATGTACTGCTTTGATATCTGCTAGTTGCAATGGTTATCACCAGGTTGTTGAACTCTTACTGAATAAAGATCCAGATATTAACATTCAAGATAATGATGGATGGACTGCTTTGATGTTTGCTAGTCACTATGATCATCACCAGGTTGTTGAACTCTTACTGAATAAAGGTCCAGATATTAACTTTCAAAATAATAATGGATCGACTGCTTTGATGCTTGCTAGTTACAATGGTCATCACCAGGTTGTTAAACTCTTACTGAGTAAAAATCCAGATATTAACATTCAAAATAACGATGGATGTACTGCTTTGATATCTGCTAGTCGCAATGGTTACCACCAGGTTGTTGAACTCTTACTGAGTAAAGATGCAGATATTAACATTCAAGATAATAATGGTGACAGTGCATTAACTATTACCATGGTTTTCTCTCATTTTATTATTACTGAAGTTTTTGACATAACTCCTGACAGACGTATTCAACTTCTCCACCAGTTGCACACTGGTGATTATATCAAAACATTACAACTTTTACTTAACTGTCATCATATTAATCATACTGATGGTAAGAATTGTCATTCATTAGCAGTAGCAGCAAAATTCAATAATTTTGATGCAGTTACTATCTTAATTGAAAAATGTAGCATCACACCAGAACACATCATCAGTGCTTTCACTGCTGCATGTTATGAAGGTCATTTTTCAATGATAATTCACCTATCTGAGAAAATAACAACTCTTTCAAATAATGAGAGAAAATTATTAGTAGCAGCTGCTGAAGGAAATTTAGGAATATTGATTGATATGCTTTGTTTCATTGGTATGAGTCCAAATACACCATTGGTAGCTGGTATAACTTCGTTAATGATAGCAGCTTCATGTGGACACATTGAATTAGTTGAAGCACTAATACAAGTTGGAGCCGATGTTAATAAAAAAAATGATGAAGGCCTAAATGCACTTGATATAGTGAATGATATTTCTTTTTATGATCGAGCTAATATTAAACAGCTTTTAATTCCTAATACTCCAGCTGGTAAACTGGATCAAGTATCAAACAATGCCAAGTCAAATAATGAAAAAACCAGTATTGGTGATACAATCAAGTCAAATTTTGGCAAATATATAAAGGAGTTTTACGATCCATACTATGCAAAGCAGAAAGAATTGAAAATGGTGCCTTCTGAAGCAATTGATCAATATAAAAAAAGCAGCACTTACTTTTTGACTAGTATCTACAATACAGTTTGTGCTTTAATTAAATGATTGCTTGTAGTCATTATAATTATTATTTATAGTTATTGGAGTGTATTAATTACATGTACATGGTATGTCTAGTGATTTTTGTGGCATAGCCTATAATTATATTAGCATTACTTAATCAAGTATTTTTAAAATATAACCTGAATTGCTATTAATTTTAATAATAAAATAACTATACTACCAGGTATCATAGATGCATGTATAAAAAAATGTTAATCAAGTTAATGTCATGATTCTGTTCCACTATGAAAGCAATAACCACAACTTCATTAGCATTCACATTTAGCAACAGTCAACATTCAATTAAGACAAATTAGTAAATGCTCCTCCATTCTTTTCTTCATCTCGTGACACTGTAAAGACATTCATTAACATAATTTATACCACCAGTGCATGTAACAAACAAAATTGAATTCTTGTGTAACATGCAATAGGTAAGTCCCAGACCAGAATAGAGAATGATCTTCCTTGGCTTGAATGGAGAGTGACATAAAGTATGGCTGCATGATAGTGCCTAAAATGATAAAATAATGATAATGCAAAATTAAATATTACCAACTGACTTTGATACAACAGTTGCTGGATCCCGTCCACTAAAGGCACCTTTAAATGCAAACCAGGCCACAAGGCAATGTATCAAACCCAAGTTGAGGTCTCTGCAGTTAGAAATAAAGTCTTTCCTGATAGTCAAAGGAGTCTTGCTGCACTTCTCAGCAACGACATCATCAAATGCAAAGAAAATAAGTAAAAAGATTACAGAAACCACCAACTTCATCTTGACAAAATATCATAGAGTCTATCTACTGATGGTGTATTTTTTATTTATATAGGGTACTTGGAAATGCAGTGACATCATTATGAGCTCACTTAATATTTTACTTAATCATTGGATTGTACTAGCAAAAGTTATAACTAAAATTTAGAAACTAAGTTGTCGTAATTGCAATTATAGATACAATTTTTGAGTAACTTTAAAAATTTGTAAAAAAATTCAATTTTGATTAGAATCAGCTCAAACTTTCTACGCAACATCTTGTTTAGTGAGGAAAACCTAATGACAATACAGTATATAAGCTTCTGTGAGTCTAACAGTTCAACAGCAGTCACCACCTTCTAAACTTCTCCATTTTAAAAATGTTTCTGTTTCATGCAAAAACAAATCAGAAGTAACTAAAATTACTTCAACATGACATATAAATAAAAAAATTGAGTCTATTTTTGTAATTAAAATAATGTATAATGTTAATCAAAGTTTTTTATTTGACCCCAAGTCTGTTTATTTCATAAAAATATCAATGTCACTTTAAATATTAACATGATCTTGCCAGTGCAAAAAAAACCTATAAAAGTATCAGCTATTTGGTTTGTGGATGCTTATAACTTACTTGTATTAAAGCTAATGAAGCTAATGATGCAAATTCATATACAATCCACTTCATGGTTTTTCGGCCTCATACCTACCATAGCATAAAATACAACAGGATTATACACAATTCAAACCTTTTTGAATGTCACTGATAATTGTAGAGACACAGGCAGCAATAGTGTTTGCTTGATTGATATCTCCATACACATCGTAACAATCATATTGGATGGACCTTTCCATCACTCTACTACGCATTAAATTCATGCTACCTTCTGAACAACTCTCTCCTAAAATGGCAGTAAGAAAGCAGCTTATCAAATCATGGCATACCTTCTCCTTTTCTGTGTAAAATAATGGCCACAACCTCGAGGGCATTCATATTTGGCAGCTCAACATTTGAGAAATCTGATTCGTTTCTAAATGTACCTCCATTTCTTTCTCCATTTCCAAGCCAGTAGGCTATACCACTCGATGCTTTTGCAAAAAGAAGAGAGAACTGGCTCCAGAAATTACGAGTGACACTGCAGAGACAACTGCCATATCCTAACCCATCATAACCTGCATAAAATAGACACATATCAACTCATTATTTCAATGTCCTTATGTTGTGAAAGCCAATTCCAATAACTACTTTTTGAGCTATGAATGACTCAAAAATTTTATTAAAAGTTCTAGTTGTAAAAAATTTTTAAAATCTTGTTCACACTTCAATTTACACCTTGAGGCGTAAACAAAGTGTCAAAAAATTGTAATTTTTGCAGAACCTTTTCAATAATAAAATTAATTTTATTATACCTTGTTTTGAGCCGCACCAGTTGACTCCATACCCAAGGTCATTAATAATAGCTGATGAAGGCTCATTTGCAGAAGAATAGACAACAGCTCCTGTAGGATTAGGCTGAGTGCTCACAACCTCAACAACAGGAAAAGTCCCAGACCAGAATAGAGAGGAGTTTACCTTGGCTGTTATGGGGAGTTTGTCAAAATACACTTGATAGTCCCTGGAAATGTGTACATAAAATCAGAGGCAGGATTATGAAACTTATAACTGACTCCTTCATGACTTTGACTGGATCTCGTCCACGGAAAGCTCCTCCAAACGCGGTCCAAACCTCATCACAATTGCTCAGTTGTAGACTCCTACAGACAGAAATGAACTTCTCCCTGAAATCAAGAGGCGTCCCACTGCAACCAAAAGAACAAGCATCAGTGAAGTCGAGCAAGGAAAACAAGGCAAGAAGAAAAACAGGAGCCATAATAAAAAGGGCGTGGTTACTGTGGAGTGTGGAATGCATGCATGGATGCATGGCATGCAAATACCATGCAAGCAAGAGTCTATTTGAATGAAAAGCTTATGGAAGATCAAGCAAGAAGTAGACAAATACCTAATAAGTTAACGAAGCAGCACTGGCTAAGCATATTACGGTATTCTCTGGTAGGTGAGTTAGATTATTGTCAAGAGTAAATAGCTTGTTTGTTGAGACCAACAAAATGGGTGAAACTAATATTATCATATTATTTTTCTACACTGCTATGTTCATGTGGCATTGGTTAAGTATTATTATTGAACAACAAGATTAATTAATTAATTAATTTTAACTATTAATTTTTTAATTAGTTTTAGTAGTCAGTTTACTTTCTGGAAAACCCTGGGCGGCGCCATCCCCTGGGATGGGTACGGGGTTTTAAACGGGAATAAGGTTCATCTCTCTGCCTCCTTGACCGGAAACGGGAGCGGGAACGGCGGGAACTGGTGCCTAAAGAAATTAAGTATAATCAATAATAATATGAATAATTGAATACACCAATGATAATACCTGAAATCACATGTAAAATGACATGAAAGATATGGTATTGCTGGTAACTTTTTAGTCAGGTAGTTTTAAAGGGAGGAGACAATTGTTTGCTTGTACTTATTTTAGTGATTTTCATGGTACTATTTAATCTAACACAAAGCTCTGTAGAATTGATGTCTTAAGCCTTGTTTTTACCACCTTGCATGCATAATGATTTTTTTTAATTTCATCAGTTATCAAAATAGGTATGGAAACAGTAAATGAAGAATTTCATTTCTTCTCACTAAGATTTATAACGGTATAATTTTCTATTGCTTCTGGAGACCGTGTATGTACATTTTTTCTGCTAAAAAGCTCCCATTTGGCAGTTGCCATTTTACTTACTGCTTCCACATCTATTTTTACATTAATATTAAATTTTGATAACTGATAAAATTAAAATTTTCATGGGCTTAATTTAGCCGTTATTTCAAGATTGCTAGTTTGGTGACTTAAAGCCAATTATAACACCAGCTAATATATATACTCTAAAGCTTTACTTTTAGAGGTGTCTCTTCTGAGGCATCATTTTAATTCTAAAGTTTTTGATTCACAAATTCATGTTCCTCTTTAATTATCATGCACACACCAGCAATGCATTGTGTATTGACTATAATTAATGTATTCCTAGACAGGATACTGACCTTTTAGTTCACAACCAGCTTGATCTAAGTAGTATACTGCCTGGGGTGTTTCTGTCTCCTTCAATGTCATATGAAGTGTAATTCTTTCTTGACAGCATAGGTTTATCACACCAAAGTAAGACGAAAGGCTTGGGTCATTCCGAACATTCTCTATTGTAGACTGTGCATCATCAACAATGGTAATTCTTATAGTCAGTTCCATATCCTAACATTATAAGTGTTTTTAAATAATTATAGAAATACATATACAATAATATTAAAATAAAATACACATATGATGATCGCTTTAAAATTTCAAAATATAGCTAGTAACTATTAATTGGAACAGTAAAGCTGCTCATGTTACAGATATCACTTTCACCTACTATATGGCTACATTTTTAAAATTTTCTTTACCTAAGAAGGATGATCAGCAACCCTTTCTTTTTATCGTCAATTGGCCACACCTGTGGACGTGGGTCATACGTTGATTTAATTAGGTCACGCGATATAGTAAATTTTGTGCTGATCTTTTTTATGGGAGTGGTTTGGGATTAATGCATTCAATCCTATCTATAAAATAGGTCAGGCTACATTTGTATATTTTGAAAAACTTTTGTCGCAGTGATTATTTTCTGTAACACTTTTAGTATAGGAATTTTTTTAGAATATTATGTGTGTCACATATGTACTAAATTGTATTGACATGGAATAATCATAGATAATAAAGTAAAGAGTAATCAATGGATTTCTATCTCTAGGACACATCATATTACATGTGATATTATGTCTTTTCTAGACGTGCTCATCTATACATACATACACACACACACACGCATATATATAGATTCGACACAAAGTTGTACTTTACTGGCAGTGTTTTTTAGTGGCCGCTACATATTTTGACTATATCACATTACCTTGGAAGGCAGAGAATGAATGGAATTGGTAACTAGATCTTCGTTCTAGGTATGTTGATATGACGTTTAATCATGTGGGTTGGGCTTTGTACTAATTAGCTTTAATGATATGCCTATGATAAATGGCTGATATCTATTACAATCTACACCCAGTACATGGCTTATATTTGAGGGGCTCTGCCTCATCAAATTTAATAAGGCCCGACCAGTTTACCTCTGTAAATATATATGGTAGACGTAACAATAGTGATGATATATTCACTTACAAAAGTATTTTTCAGTTTTAGTTCATCCACCTTTTCTTTCAGATGTACGTTGGTACATTCACGTCACACTGACGTAGGAAGGGGGGCAGAGCCATGCCCTCCCCCATATTGACAGAAAATTTTCTTCTGAATCATATACAGCAAACATTTAACATTTCTTTTTATTTTTAATCCTAGCCTCCATTATAATATGTAAAGGTATATTTTGATCTGTTGTCAAAAAGTTTTTACGAGAGTTCATGTCTTGAGTGTATTATGAAGAAGGCAAGAGATTGAGGTAAGTTTATTATTATAGGTACTTCCTTTGCATTCTCTTCCCTCTCCTAGCTATACAACCTATTAATGTCATAATACAGACTAAGAAAGATCATTTTTTAATTTGACTTGAGGTCAGATTTTGTAAGGAAATTTTACTGATGGCATCTTATGAATTAAAACTTAGTAAAACAGGACAGGAACCATAATTATTTATAAAGGGTGTGGACATGTAGTTACTGTGGCAATTACATAAACTTAAGTTTGGCATACCGTTAATTTTTATAAGCTCACAATTTTGATAGAAAATAATATCATGAAAGTCGAAACTAAAACTATAACAATAATATACACTATATTAGTCCTCTTCTTTTCTTATAATCTGATAGGTTTAGGGAACGCTTCGGACCATCAGTCTTTATGACAGTACTAATAGTTTTTGATGATGCCTTAACGACCGGCCCTAAGAAATTGACACAAAATTATAAAAATAAATGCTGCATGTTTAACGGAATACCTGTTGTATTGTTTGGTAGGTCAATGTTTATGTCAAAGTTATGTGCCGAGAATAAATCAGTAGGAGCAGGGGCAGCAAGAGACAGAGGAAGGGGAGGAGGAGGAGGGAGAGAATCAACATCTACTGCTGATACTACAACATCAGGAGTCTATAAGTAAACAATAGAACAACAATTAGTAAAAATTAATGTATATATTATAATTATTTTAATTTAGCAACATAGTATATGAATATCAGCAGAGCTGTACCTGATTAGAGCCATTAGACTTAGACACTGAAGCAGAAGCACTTCCATCAGTGGCATCAACTCCACTTATTCCAGCTTCTTTACCCTACAGAGAGTACACTTAACTCTTTTCACTCCTAGTTCATCCACCCCACTAAACTCCCCCTACTTACAAATGTCACTAGTCGTGGCATACACTTCCTCCTGGTAAAAGGATCTTCCTCTTTGTCTTTAATGTTTGCCATCTCTTCCTACATGGTGAAAATGTTTTAAAGAGCAGCTTCCCTCATTCTCCAATGCATACCTTGAGAGCTTCCTCTGCCCTGGCAACATTCCTCTGTCTGTTCCTCTCATTAATGTAACTGGAAGGAAAGGAAAGAAGAGAATGAGAAGAAAAGAGGAGAATGAGAAACAAAGGATACTATACACACCTTATAGCAGAGAGTCCTCTTGTTCTCTGCTTGTCTAACTCTTCAGCTCTTTCCTCCAGCTCCTCTAGTTTTCTTGCTAGATCAGTAGCCTTCTCAGTAGAGCCAGTCTGTTCAGCTATCTCCTACAATAATGGTCTGATGGTGTTTGATGGAGTCTATACAGTGCATACCTTTTCTCTCATGAGGCGATTTTTTGTCAGTGCATAGTTGTGTGGATTCTTTTGGAACTTTTGCTTCTCTTGTATAATCTGTGTACATAATAAACAAATAAAGTACCACATTCATAACAAGTTGTATCTTCTCTCTTACTCTATCAATGTCTTCCTCCTTTAAGCTGGCACTCTTATACTTTTCTATCTCCTTTACTTTCTTTTCCACTTCAAAAAGAGTTGGCAGTTTTATCGAATGCGCCTCATTCTAAAAATAAAAGAATAAGAAATAATAATTACCAAAGGTAATTGGCATATATAAATGTACCTCAGCCTTCCATTTACTGAACTCTTGATCAGTGAAAGCACTGTTTGATATATACTCCATTCTGAATATTCTCTCTTGCTGGCCGAACCTACATGTACATGTACGCTTACGTTTAAAAGTCCCCCCCCTCATTTAAAACCATTCCCACCTTAATTTTAACCCTTTATTAGTCTTGGTGCCCCCTAGAGTGTAAACTTTTGAAGTTTCGTGAACGCTCACGATCTCACACACCTAATGTACGTACACATAAATAAAGTATGATGATATGTCAAAACATGACAGTTTACCCTGTAAATCATTCTTCCTTCGTGTTGCCCTATTCCAATCCGGACATAGCAGCCCCTGATGACATCAGCAAAGAATGGCATATGGACCCACCTGTATAACAGCAATGAAAGAATTCAGCATATGATATGAATGTAAATGCTATTTGATAAAGTGAGTAAAAGGTTGGTAATCCACATTGTAAATAGAGTAAGGGAGAAAGAGATGGTGGGCTACTTTTCAAGTCTAAATCTTGACATCTTGATCTTTGACAGTTCTTCTATTGTGTTTATTGGACGGTTTTTCTCTGATCTCAGTTGAGCCAGCGTCCTAGAAGTAATGATAAAAAATGTATAGCATAACTCAGAAAATATTTGTCGGAATTAGGTCAAATTGTTTTATATACAATTGTAGCATAAGGACATCAATATGTATCAAAAAATGTAATAAAAATTGGGGGTGATTTCGGAGCCATTTTTCAGAAAAAACCATGGGCTATAGTACAGGGTAGTTTTCAGATTTTGGCATATTTTTTAAAATGGCTGTAACTCAAAAAATTTAAGTCGGAATCGACTCAAACTTTCTACATAGCATAAGTTCATCAATATGTATCAGAAAATGTAATAAAAATTGGGGGTGATTTCGGAGCCATTTTTTGGAAAAAACCATGGGCTACAGTACAGGGTATTTTTCAGATTTTGGCATATTTTTTAAATGGCTGTAACTCGAAAAATTTAAGTCGGAATCGACTCAAACTTTCAACATAGCATAAGTACATCAATATGTATCAAAAAACGTAATAAAAATTGGGGGTGATTTCGGAGCCATTTTTTGGGAAAAGCCCATGGGCTATAGCCTTTGCTATATGTACATGTACTTATGTGATGTATCATCTTTAAGCAGATTCTGATCAAAATTGAATTTTTTTACAATTTTAAAGTTGATTCAAATTTGTCAACACATCATTAACTAACTTATCTTCCTTAGTATCATCATCAGATTCCTCTTCCCCTGAGCTTGAAGAACCCTCAGATTCGCCAGAGGTCTCGCTAAAGACTTCGTTAACTTTCAACGGTTCCCGTCGAAGTTGTTGCTGTTCTTGTTTCTTCTGATCAGCTTCGGCAGCTGCAGCTTTCTTTTGCTTGTCGGCATTTCTCTTTGCCTTGAGTTCGTCAATGGCCCGCATTGTCTTGTTTTGCTTTGGCTCTTTGGCACGTAGGCCACTCCGTGACTGACCGTGCTTCTTTGAAGACTTCTTCATTTTCTTTTCTTGTTTCTTGCCAAGTCTGAGCTGCATTTCCACCTCAAAACGAGCCTTTAAGATTTCACGTTGCTCATGCCTACAGTATATTAACGATAAACATACATGCATGTACATGTACATGTATATAAATATTTTGTGACATCATTCTTGTTGTTGTTGTTTCTAAGTCTACTTACTATACTATGCAATTTAATATGCCAAGTACATGTGTGTCAATAAACCACATGTACATGTACATTCCCAAATACCATGTCAAACGAAGTTCAATTTCATAGTCATAAAGAGTACAGCCACAGCTGGTGTTTACTCTATTTATATCATAGGCAAAACTTGAGAGAAATTTATTTTAAGATCGGGCACAAACAGTCGAGGCCAAGGGTGGTCATAAAAATAATCTGTGGCATTGCAAGTTACAATTAATGAGTAGAACCTCTTAAAAATCTCCTGCTCTCTCTCTGCTTCAGTCATGGAGGCTAATTTCCGTCTGTCCTCGTCATCTCCGATCAAATCATCATCCAATCCATCATTAAAGGTCATCTGTTCTTCGTCTGACGAAGAGACGTCTTCTTCGCCATCGCTGCCTCCTCCTTCACTCGACTCTCCACTAGACCCACTTTCATCGCTATCCTATACACCACATCCAATAGCATCAACAATAATTATTATAGCCATAATTCCATTCATTACGTTACACTATGTTGGGTATGCATCTCACTAATTATGAATAATCTTTTCCAGTAAAAGGCCATTAAAGTACACTCACCATCAAAGCACACACACACACTCTCCTACATATTGGTCTACCTCCTACATGTACCTCTTCGCTGTCAGCAGATGAAGCAGTAGCTTTTGATATTCTTTTTCTCTTTGTGAGGAGCTTCTTGTTATTTTTCTTCTCCTTCCCTCCACTTTCGATCCACTACAAATATACCAAGCACAAGAATAATCCAAACTTCACATCCTCCCACCCTCTCCCTCTCTCTCTTACATCAAGGTCACTTTCCTCTGAGCTTGAGCCAGAAGAACTCAGCCTCCCTCTCTTTACAGACGACTACATGTGTATGCGTAAAAATTTATAATGATACGAACCATTCCTTATCAGTGCAAAATAGTCCATAATTTCACACTGATCAAACACATGGCATCTACAGTCGTATATCATAATTATAATATCATTGTCATCAATTATTATGCATATCTTGTGTGTATAAACTGTTGAGAGTGTGTATCAAGGAATTTGTATTAATCTACTACGAGTGTTGCCTATTAAATATTTCGGCTTATTCATTTAATGTCAGTTTTGCTGTCCAAGCAACCGTTACTACTTACTAACAGTCCAAGTTGTTTACGTATAGCTTTTATATTATGGCGGACCGATTATCTACACATTTATAAACTAGCGCCTCGTTCTAGCGGTGCCTTATAGAGAGTTTTACAAACCTCAGTATCACTGGAATCATTATCATCCTGTAAAGGCCGTTTGATAGCTTTAGACATGATCACCTACTAAAAACAAGGAAGGTTATGGAGAGAAGAAGCAGTGCTAGAGATGAAAGTCAAAATTTATGGGTGTGGTCAATTCAGGCCTCGCCCATTTGTAAAATTTGACTTTTTCTTTTAAATAAAACTATTCCGGTGGTAACGTTTTTTGGCAAAGATGCATGCATCATGCATCCACCCTAACACACCCTTATAATTCAATTTAAATGTATAAAAATGTATTTTACCGTATGTTTGCATACAAATTAATTGATGTATTGAAAAAACCACATAACTCATACAAACACAATTCCAATAAGAATCAGTCATACTATGGAATCTTGTCATAAAACATGCAGAGATAGATGCTACATTGCTACCCAATGATGCATGCATACATATTAACATATCCTACTCTATTAATGCTTGAATTCACCACAAAACTGCACAGAGTAGAAAGGCAAGATGATTCTCTTGCTTCTGTTTCTGATACAAGGTAGCTACTTATTTGAATAATTTAAAATTATTTATAATTATTCTTCTTTCTGTAGTAGTATCTTGTTTAGGAGCTGATGACACTTCCACAGCTGAGCCATCTTCGTTTATGTCAACTTTTGAATTTGAGCTTTTTCCTGAAACTAGTCAAGTTTTAAATCCACATGCCACATTTGCTTCACCTTCATTGCTATTGCCATCATCCACCAATACAATATATCCCTTTACAACATCAAGAAAAAAAGAAGTAGCTACAATAAGCATTAATTCATTAATACTCCCAACAACTTCTTTCACAGCTTTGTATAGCATTACAAAACCGGTTAAATCAGCTGCTTCACATTTCTCTGCAAATGATCTTGAATCTAAAGAAATGCTACACAGATCTACAGCAGCAATAACTCATATCCTAACAGAATTGTCATTGCAGCCTACATCATCAAGTCAAGTTATTGATCCTTCAATAACATTGGCTGACAGCTATCCTTCCATGACACCAAGCAAGAAAGTAGCTGCAATGAGCAAAAGCCCCACTGATTCATACTTACCAATAACAGCTGCTTCCACTCTTTTTCATGAATCAGAAGTGATTAATGCATATTCTTCTGCTAATGATCCTAGGCCTGAATCACATATGGTAGCAATAAGTCAAATCCTAACAGAATCATCATTGCAGGCTATATTATCAAGTCAAAGTATTGATCCAACATTGGCTGACAGCTACACAGTATATCCTTCCATAAGATCAACCAGAGAAGTAGCTGCAATAAGCAAAAGTCGCACCGATTTCTATGTACTTCCTGCATCAACTGCTTCCCCTGTTTTTTATGAGTCAGAAGCGATTACTACATATTCCTCTGCAAATGATCCTAGGCCTGAATTACATACTGTAGCAATAAGTCATATAACAGAATCATCATTGCAGCCTACATCATCAAGTCAAACTATTGATCTTTCAATAACATTGGCTGACAGCTATCCTTCCATGACACCAAGCAAGAAAGTATCTGCAATAAGCAGAAGCCCCACTGATTCATACTTACCTATAATGGCTACTTCCACTCTTTTTCATGAATCAGAAGTGATTAATGCATATTCTTCTGCAAATGATGTTGAATCTAGAGAAATACTGCATACAACCACAAATGATATCTTAACAGAATCGTATAATGCATTAACAATAGCTTCACTGTTGCCTGTAACATCAAACCATGATCATATTTTTAATCCTTCATTAACAATGACCACCATACCAACTACATCAAGTGATGACATCATATCTTATTCATCAAGAAATGAATCACCTTCAGGATCAACACAAATCATTATTGATCCCATGTCAACCTTAACACAAGCTAATGATCAAACATCAAGTCAATTTGCCAGTATATTGACAGTAAGTACAACAGCAAATCAAATTACTCCTGTGCCTACACTGATCTTTCCGTCAAGTCCTTATGATGAACTAGAAGACTTCATGTTACTACAATCCAGTTCTATTTTCCCAGAGTCAGATTTTTCATCTAAAATAAACATTTTTACAACTTCATTCTTCTTCAATGAGCCGACACCTTCCAGTCACTTGCCACTGCAACCATCAAATGGTTTCAGTTCTTTATCCAACTTGCTCTTACTTACAACAACAGAAGAGGTTATGCCATTTGATTCATCAACCATCAGTCCAGATGAAGCAGCATCATTCATAATAGTATCTTCCACAGATGAATTTTTATCAACACTGGAAGCAACTTCAAGTGATGATTTATTCTCTGGATTCTTTTCTTCATCTGATGAATTTGAACCAACACCAACACTCTCCTCAAGCATTGATCTATTTTCTTCAGATTTTTTAATGTCAGAGTATATGACATCATTCATTCCATCTCCAAGTCCATCAATATCTCCACAAATTGTTACTCTCATTTTAGGTCCAGAAAACACGACGGCTAATTATTCTGAGACTGCAACACTAAGCTGTACCTTCTCAAGCCCATTTAGATTATCTGCTGATCTGATCTGGTATCATGATTATGAAGAGATTAATGAAACGATAGACAAGCACAATATCACAACTGATGTTCATGAATCAGAAGAAGATTACAATGTCACTACAGTGTTCACTCTTACTATAGAGGATGTCGTTCTTGAAGATCAAGGATATTATGAATGCGCTATAGATGATGAGGAATATCCTGACATTAGAGGCACAGCATACCTCACCATACAAAGTATGCACATTATAATTACATTGCATGATTATCGTTTTTATTTTTAATCCCAGAGCCACCCACTATCAATGCTACAGAAAAGTCACTAAGTGTTGACGAAGGCGGAGAAGCAGTTCTTCAAGTTACAGTCTTTGGTGGAGTTCCTCCAGTCAATGAAGAAGAAGTTGAATGGCTGTTTACAAGTTTTGATGGGATATCTAGTGACATTACTAACGAAACTTGTACTTGTAACATAACCACAAGCAATGAAGCATATACATTAACATTGCATAGTGTCTTACGAACAGATAGAGGAAACTACACACTAGCTGTATATCATCCCACTGGACTACACAAGATAAGCATTGAGCTTATTGTAAATGGTCAGTAAAGAAGGGAAAGGTGGGGAGTGTATCTTACAATTTATTTACTACTCTTTTTTAGTTCCACCCTGTGCAATGATAGCAAATTATTCCACTGACATTATTATTGTGAATGAAACAGACAGTGTAGAGTTACGGTGTAATGTTGAAAGCTATCCTGAACTAGAGTATGAAATAGAGTGGTACTCAATGCAAAATGGAACCGAGAAGCTACAAAATAGCTCAAAGTTCCTTATAGACTACACCATAGAGGACAATGAGACTGGCCTTGTTTTCGTAACCCAATCTCAACTGATCATCACTGACATTACTCTTTATGATGATGGTGCATACACATGCAGTGCTGGACCTCAATCAGCTTGTAATGCCACATTTAACATCACAGTACAATGTAAGTAAATAATTGACATAATAATATTTATTATGTTCTCTTTAGCTCCTCCTAGTGTTGGTAGTTTGGTCAATGGTAGTATTATATATGGGGTTGTATCTGAAAATGTCACCATTCAATTTGTATTGACTAATGCTGGAGTTCCTCCAATCTTATCCAATGATACTCAATGGGTCTTCAATGAGAGCGAGTCACTGGAAGAAGACAGTAGTGTCATATTTTCAGACGACAGGCTCTCTCTTACCTTGACAAACTTATCATTTACGAATGAAGGGAACTATACCATCACCATCGCTAATCCTGCTGGAACTGATAGTGCATCTCTTTTCTTAGATGTTGAAGGTATAAGAAAGAATATATGAATGATTAAAGATATGTGCACGGCTTCATGTATATGTATTGTCTATTGGTTCCTGTGTATGTTGTTATGTTAAATATAATACTACAGGATTGCTACATGCTACAAGCAGAGAAGTTGCTGTTGCTGAGAATGACAATGTCACTATTGGCTTCACAATAGAGGGAGATGATCCTATTTATCAAGTGGATGATTTTGAGTGGTATTATACAAATTTATCTAATATCACACAAGCAGTAGTTGAAAACAATCGACTGTCATTAAGTAATGATCTTCGTAGTCTGACCATCATTTCAGTTCAATTGGAGGATAGGGGGAATTATACACTAGAAATCAATAACCGAAGATCATCAACTGTTTATCTTGATGTTAAGAGTAAGTGGTATCATAGTTATGCTGCATTATTATAGTTTTATTTATAAGTTGCCCCAAGACTGATTTACACTAAAGGGGAGAATCAAACACGCAATACAAGCAGTAGTACAACATTCAATTGCTCAGCCGATGGTGTTCCAAGGCCAACAATACAATGGATAAGGAATGGACGTACATTATTCTCGTCTAACAGGTTTAACATAACGAGTAGGATTGATAATGATCAAAGCATTCATGAGCGACAAGCTGTATCAAGCTATCTGACTATATCTGACATGCAGCTACAAGATGATGGCAACTATAATTGTAAAGCAGATAACTTATTTCTATCTCCTGCAAGTCTATCAACTGATTATATACTAACAGTTATTGACAGTAAGCTAACATGTTTCATTAAAATATATACTACTCATTTTTTGTTTTACTTAGATCGTCCACCACCATTTTGCGACCAAAATCCTAATGAATGTGGGAGCAATGGAAATTGTGGTGACCTGCCAGGAGGAGGGTACGAGTGCATATGCAATAATGGATACAGCTACAATGGAGAAGAATGTCTATGTATGTCATTAAAATAAAATGTATGTCATAAACTATTATTATTATTCAGCTGATCCACCTGGCGTGAACATTCCTCCTAAACTAAAAAGAATTGAAGTGAAATATGACAAAGAATTACTAACTGTACATGGACCATTTCCCATGGAAACTGTACAGAACATACCGGCAAAGCTCTTTAGCAATCTAACAATGATCTGTTACTCTGAGGGCATACCTCAACCTGAGACAACATGGTACAAGGATGGCCAGCCACTGACATGCAACAAAAGGTTCTTTCAAATACTGGAAGTACAACAAACTGATAGAGGATATTATCAGTGCAAAGTCAAAAGTACTTCAGAATCTCAAGAAAGCGGAGAATTCCTTGTAAATATCACAGGTACTATATAAATCATTATCACAATACATGTGCATCTTAATCATAGGAGTGTTGGCATTTAGAATAAGAATTGAAGCTGAGGAGCAAAGCAATGCTACAGTCATTGTTAAAATGGTCAGCTAACTGCATACACCTATTGCAACATTAATTTTGTTATGTTTAACACCATCAGATTAGGAACAATATTATTAATACAAGAGTGGGGGATGGTATTGTTATATCAGTGGAGTTATTGGAGCAACCAACAAAAAGAAGAAAAAGGTTCTACACTAAATATCATATTTAATTATTGACTCTGAAATCTGAAGATACAATAGGAATCCACCAATGGAACTGACAATAGTTGTCACTTTGTTCTTTGAGGAGGAAGCTCCAGAATCCCAAGACGCTATAAGAGATGAAGCAAGGGAATCACTTAAAAGCGAAATAGAAAATGAAGGATATAGAGTTGTAAATATTTCCCGTTTCGGTAAGTCTACACTAATTGTGTTCTATCACTCAATCACATATTAATAATATTATATAAGATGGTTGCCCAAGGAACAATACATATATAAATGGAACTGAACTGGAATGGCCAGAACTGAACATTGGTGACACAGCAATCATTAGTTGTCCTTGTGGTGGTCTTGATCTCAGATCTACTGGTCTGATAGCAAGTCATAAATGTGGGGGAACTTTTGAAACTGGAGGTCAATGGGAAGATCTTAAAGATGAAAAGTGTATTTTCAGTGAAACAACCAAAGCAATATGTGAACTAGCTGGAGTGAGTTGAACTATAGCTACAGTATACTCACAATTTGGAAAAAATTTTTTAGAAACCATCAGATGAAAAGGTTGAGCAGCTAGGAAGTTTGACAGAAGATGTGACAAACTTTGAACCAGCTGAAGTCATCACGGCCACTGTTGTACTGCTCACCACTGGTCAAGATGCAAAAGGGAACTTTAACGTAATTTCTTAATTATTTTGTATAACGTTTCATTATTGTACTGTGTAGTTATCAAAAGGGTTTCTGAATGTAGTAAATAATATAGCTTCAGTGAATGTAACGGTACTAAGAACCAGTCAGGAAGAAGCCAGAGTCACAACAAAGTAAACTCCATGCATGATGAACAATATTAATAAAACTACCATAATACTTTAGACTTATGGACTCACTGCATAATGTAAGTGAAGGACTACCAATTGAATCTAATGACAAACCAGCAATACTTCTTGAGGAATTGTTTGTTGTTTTAGTTCAGGGCGTTGACCAAAGATCCTTTGCTAATAATACTTTTGTTGCAAATCTACGGAATAATTCATTAGTTAACGATTCACTTGAACTTGTTGATAATAGTAATGGAGAATACTCAAACTCAACAGCTTTTCTGACGCTTCCACCAAATCTCTTTGATAACCTTGCATTGAGTAATGTCAGCAATTTGGCAGATAAACTTGTATCCATTGCATTTACTGATGAGACTCTGTTTTTAAGACGGACAAGTGCAATAGAAAACAAAAAAGTTGGGAGTGTCATTTTTTCTGTGAGTGTTGCCAATCAAAGTAGAATCGATAATCTCACTAATCCAACAGTTGATATGTCATTTCAAATTATTAAAAAGGTGATGATGTTAAATAAAGATAATAACTCATTAAATCTGCTATTTTGTTAGCCTCAAGCAGAATTCGCTGTTACTTGTGTGTACTGGGATGCAAAATTAGATGGTAAGTGTATTTTGAACATTCTTAAGTAACTATTTTTGCAGAGGGATATGGTGATTGGTCAACTGAAGGATGCATAGTGAATGAGACCGAATACTTGAATGATTCAAGCAGAGTTTTATGTCACTGTAACCATCTTACAAGCTTTGCTATAATTCTGGTATTAAAATTATCTTAAAATAATAAATAAAATATTAACAATATTAAAATAGGACTTGACACCTATGGAAACTCCCACAGATGGGCCAGATCACTACAGCTATACTTTATCTGCCATTACATACATTGGTACAATAGTTTCAACTGTTTGTTTGCTGATCACAATCGTCACATTCCTTTCAGTCAAGTAAATATCTTTTTGGTATACTATCCAATATAGTTCATTGCAAATATACAGGAAACTGAGGAGAACTGAACACGGTCAGTTACTCATTCACTTGTCTGTAGCTCTCATTGGATTATATGGTATATTCATTGGATCCTCACTGAGCATTAAAATTCATGTACTTTGCTCAATGACTGCCATACTGCTCCAGTATTTCTTTCTTGTAATTTTTATGCTAATGGCTGCTCTAGCAGTTGACTTGTACTTAAAACTAGTTGTTGTCCTTGGTGGAAAAATCTCATATTATGTTTTAAAAGCTACAATTGTGTCATGGGGTAAGAAAATTAGTCAGTAAATTTCATTGATTTCTTTCTAATCATAGTACTGCCAATATTCATTACATTGTTCTCATTTGCTCCGGATCATAGCAATTTTTACAAGCGAAACTATTTGTGAGTAATAAAAGTGCATATAGCATTAATAGCATTTCCCTTGATTTTTAGCTGCCGTCCTTATGATATTCCATTTTACGTCGGAATGATTGCACCATTTGCCGTCATTTACTTGTTCAACTGGATCATCTTCTTCATCATTTTAGTCCGTTTGCTGCTAAGACGTGACGTTAGTCCACAAGAGGGTCAAAGCAAATACAAGAAAATCAAGCAACAGCTAATAGCTGCCATTGGTCTATCAGTGCTTCTTGGGCTTGGGTGGGGAATGGGGATACCAGCAAGCAGCCAATTTTTCGAAAAAACCCCTGCCGTTCAAAAAACTTTTGAAGTCCTATTTGTTTCTCTTACGTCATTTCAAGGTCTTGCAGTTTTTGTGATGCAGTGCCTGAGGTCTCTTGAAGCTCGTACAATCTGGAGCACATGGTATCACGGGACACTAAAATATTCATTGCAAAGCAGCAACAATGCTAGGTTGACAATAAGCAGTGACAAAGGGCAGACAAAAGTCAGGGAAACTGGATCGACTTTTCCAGAGACACGTCTCAATGGGAATGAACAAATAATTGATGGAGTTGAAGGACAACAGATTGAGCTTATATCGCAAAGTCCCAGTGATGAATCCAATGGCCAGGCTGGGGACACCACAGAAACTATAATGAATCCAGGCTTCATTTAAATATATAACTGTAAAATGTGACAATATATCACGTATTCTAGTTTAAGATAATTACGTCTGTTCAATACTGACATTTTCTGCTTGCAATAAATTTGTTTTCACATTGATAGTTATTAAAATAATAATAATAATAATTTTAAATAATTAAATAATAAAATTAGGGTAATAAATAATAACAATACCTGTCATCACTCATGTCAGTTTAACTGCAAGTTGTCTAAAAAAAAGTTCTTCAGCAGAATCAGGCTCAGCACCTACAAACACAGAGCAAAACAGCAGTATTATAAAAATGTATCTGCTTATTAATAGTTAATAGTTATCTAATAGTTAATTAATAACAGACAAATTTTACAGGTTCTGCGCATGCGCACAACACACTCCCGCTAACTAAAGGTGTGGCTAATTTTGGAAATGCCTACAGTGGACAAATCGAGAGGGTATAAGTTTTTAATACTTTATAATGTTCATATTCTTGATTTTAGGGTAGAGAAAAGGAGCTCCCTACATAAGGTCACCCCAAATGTTGTATCAAGGTATAATAAATTAATTTTATAAGCTTTGGGGTGTGGTCTAATATTGATTGACACACCCCTTTGATAATGAAATTGAATAATTATTATTTGCATTCATTCTCTATTTTATTACGTGCATAATTTTGTTATTACATTTAGAAATGATTTGCTATGCTCAGTACAGTTCAAGAACGTCCTACCTGATGTACCTTTTGAGCCAAAATTCATAACGTACCCTTTTGATTCATTAAGGTAATCCTCATACAATTGTACTGTATATTCTGATTGAAGTGAAAAATCAATGATTGGTTCCATGCATTCATTATATTGTGTTGTTTTAGGTTCATTCAGTATAATCCAACGAGTCTTGAGAGGAATCACAGACACGAAACATTAACTGAGGTTGATCTTGGTGTCAGTGTTGATCTGATACTACATGAAACACACACATCATTAGAACCAGCTGGTAAGTATATAAATTTTTGCCAAAAATGACCATGAGAGAATTCTTCATTTTTACAATATTTTTTTATACATATGCATGTTCTTATGTTGTGTAGCAAGTTTGAGCTGATTCCGATCAAAATTAGATTTTTTATGAATTTTTAAAGTTACTCAAAAATTGGGCCAAAGTCCCTGTACTATAGTACAGGGATTTTGACCAAATTTTGCCAAAAATGACTTGGAGAGAATTCTCTATTTTTATAATGTTTTCTTATACGTATACATGTTCTTATGTTGTGTAGCAAGTTTGAGCTGATTCCGATCAAAATTAGATTTTTTACGAATTTTTAAAGTTACTCAAAAATTGAGCCAAAGTCCCTGTACTATAGTACAGGGATTTTGACCAAATTTCGCCAAAAATGACTAGGAGAGAAATCTCCATTTTTATAATGTTTTCTGATGCATATACATGTTCTTATGTTGTGTAGCAAGTTTGAGCTGATTCCGATCAAATTTGGATTTTTTATGATTTTTTAAAGTTACTCAAAAATCAGACCAAAGTCCCTGTACTATAGTACAGGGATTTTGACCAAATTTCGCCAAAATGACTAGGAGAGAAATCTCCATTTTATGATGTTTTTTAAATACATATAAATGTTCTTATGTTGTGTAGAGCTGATTTTGATCAAAATTGGACTTTGATTAGTTCTTTTAATCTTCATCTCTTACTTAGATTCTGAACTACATCCAGATGATAAGATACTACTTGAAGAGGAGGTGACGGCTCAACCTGAATCAAAAAGGTACTGACAACAGATTGAAATAATTAGTCTTATGATCTAATTCTTTCATAAATTCCTTGTGAGAAACCATTAATATCAGTTTACTTCTCATTCCACTTGTATTAGATAATGAAAAGACATATATACATGTATTATATATACACACATGCAATACTGCTCAAGTTACACAGTTCCAATTCTCACTCAGTCACTTCACTATTACCATTGTGTGTACATATATTTACATATACAAACAATCACCATGGTGCTGCTATATATGCATACCTTCTCATTATTGAATCTATTCCTGTTGGTTGGTCTTCTTCATTTCTCTAGACATTATGGTTATGTTTTGTATCTTTTTGTCTAGAGCAAGACAACATGCAAGGAATGTCTCTTGGCTTAGGAGAACTGAGTACATTTCATCCGAGTTAACCAGGTCACACACTGTTGGAGAAACTGCCGAAACAAAGTTAGTACCTTTTATTAAATTCTGCATAATAAATGATTATTAAAATGATAGTAATAATAATAATAATAATACTGATCTGTCAGCCGTCACTTGGCTAGAGTAACTACTACTAACTACTTATTGATTTAGTGATATTTTTATTATTTGGCTCGGCCAGTGGGAGAGATGCAGATGTAGCGTAGTTTAGTTAATAAGTTGAATATTTACTCTTTCTTAATAAATTATTTAAATTCATACATACATAACACCAGCTGCTAGTCCTGTAAGATTAAACCTAAAATTAGATTATCGTACTACTAGTGTAATGTTATACATGTACATGCATAGTACTATGATTAGAAACTGGATATGGAGCTATCTCCTCTATATAGTGTTATTATGCCATTGATAATACAATTGGCGTTGTTTGCTGCTTCTCATTATTAGTCAGTATTTAACAACAAAGGTGATAGTTATTGAAGCCAGTGTATGACTAACTACCATGTCAACAACACGAGTATATACTACATCTACAGCATAACATATGTAATTTGTACACATACATTATCCATGTTATTTCTACAAAGAGATGTTGTACTTATGTTAGAGTGCAATCAGGTTTTAGTAGGAGGGATTATTTGTAACACTGCAGCTGTGTGTGTGTGTGTGTTGCAATGTTTGTTATTAATGTGATAGGGTTGGCTACAATGTGAAGAAGAAGCTTCAAGGTCTTAATCTCTACAAGGTAAGACTTTTCCTCCAGTTAGTGTGTCATTGGCATGTTTTGTTTGTCTCTCTTTGTGTCACATGCTAGTTTTTGTGTTTTTGGTGGTGGTTTGGGAGTGTTGCCTGTTGTTCATGCTTCACTTTTTTGTTATTAAAAGTGTCTGTCCTTTTATGATGACACGTACATCATGGGGAAATATTTAGGATATGGGATCACCTCGTCTTTGTTACTTATCTGTTACCCTCTCCCCCTCTCTCTCCCTTTTCTTAATCTCTCCCACTTCTTACTATACTCCTTTTTCCTGCCCTATCCCACACGTACACATGCACACACACATTCATGCATGCATTATGTACACAAACATTTTCATTGTTAGGATAGGGACAGTCAAATATCTGCTATAGAGTCAACTTTCACTGCAGCACAAAAGCCAGTAAGCTGATGTATACATACTATAAGCTTGCATGTGCATGCTCCGTACACATTGAATCCATATATGGTAAGGCACACTCATCATTCTTTTATAGTGTATACTGGCTGTATCTACAACGAGTAGTGTATATATATATTTTTATAATTATATGATGTATTTGTGTATTTTGGTTTTGTTGGTTTGTATTTACTCGAGACTAATAGTATTATTAACCAGCAGCTTGGTTATAGTTCCAGCTTGCATCATGGATTCATGTTACAGTGTGTTACAGTATGGTGTGTTAGTTTGGGCTCTGTTTGCAGTACATTCCATTACCTGTTAGCTATAGTATAGCTATATCACCATTCACTCCATGGGAAGATCTCCTCATCCAATTTGTTATAGCTTTAGTATTAGCCATTGCTCAACCGTATCTAAGATCATCAGCTGTCCTAATTGCCAATAATTAGTAAAATGGTTCTAGCTCTGATTCTGTTTTGATTTGTGGTTATTACTCTAGTATATGTATATGTACTTGTCCTTCTGTGAATTAGAGCATCACATTGCATCACTAGACTAATCTTTTATTCCCTTAGGCCCTCGTATTTTGTTTTCTTTATTTTGGCAGTTACTCTTGGTCAGTGTGTGTTACTAACACTTGTACTTAATTGAGATTTTTGGCAGTCAAAAATAAGCAGTGGCCTGTTATTACTGGTATAAAGATATACTTTGATTTCATGAGGAACATACGGTTTTGTTCTTTTCATAATACAATTAAGTATGAATGATGATAGTTCTTGATGATGTTAGACATCAAAGAAACAAGCTTTCCACTAGAGAGTTAGTATAAACATATGCACAAACACAGTCTCACCCTTCATGATGTCAATATTTAAAGGATAGTGGGACTGTTTCAGCCCCTTTGGTATTGTGCTGGGATTTTAGTTTGTATAACTTCTATAGTTGTCATGTTATAGCGAAATGTAAACTTATTTTTCTTTCAGTTTACTCTTGTCATCCATATGTACATAATGAGCTATTCTTTTTACTTATTAGTCAATTCAATGTATAGCATACTCTTCATGTGTAAATGCATCATGATCTACATTGTGTATACACAATAGTACAAGGATATAAAAAATATGCTACTTACTTATTCTCAACACTACTACTTACTATAAAGCTTATGTGGTGTCACTTTGATCTGATGATAGTTCATCGTGAGAAGTGGTATAATAGTCAGGTCAATGCCATCATTACTATGATTTACTTCCCCTAGCAGATATTCTGATATATAATATGATCCTGTTAGCCTGTGGTTCACAGTGATCTCAATTTATTTACATTTTAGATTCTCAAGCATTACAGCAAACCTGGAGTTGAGGCCAGAGAAGTCCTTCCTCTCTTTCCAGACTTCAAAGTCAGTGTGATAGGTTTTTCCTGTATCCTAAAATACCCTCCTATCTTTTCCTCTTTTACCTTTTCCACATCTCTCTCTGTCTCTCTCTCTCTCTCCTTCTCTCTAAACAACAGCTTTGGCATTTACCATTCGCTCAAGTCATTTTTGACACAGATCCAGCTGTTTATGGAAAGAAAGAAGACAGGCAAATGCAGGAGATGTCACAGGCTATGATAAGGTTATATGTAACTAAAAACGCTGTGTGACTCGTAATAAACACTGCAGTGAGTGGTTGTACTGTCTATATTACCCATTACTCCATTAGTTTGTTTGCACATACAGTGGGTATAATGTATACACAGTGCACGATTCTTATTCAAAACATGTTGTTTCACTCCCTGTAATCTTTTTGGCTTTAGTGGTTTACTCTGCTCCTTTATTATCCTAGGGGTATGATGGATGAGAATAACGAGCAGTTTGTTGCTTATTTCTTGCCGTCTCCTGACACAATCACCAAAAGGGAGGAAGATGATAGAGACGGGATTTCGTTCCGACCGGATGAAGAGTTAAGTGATTAGAGCATCAAGTGTGTGTGTGTGTTTGGTTATATCCCATTGGTCCTACATCCCATATTGATATCCTTTTTATCTCTTTCTCTTTGATAGATATGAGTACAGTCTCTCTAGGGATTATAATTGGAATGTTAAGAATAAAGCTAGTAAAGGATATGAGGTGAGTTATATGTAGCTGAGTCTATCTGGCAGTACATGCAGCCAAACTTTTCACTATTGTATCTGGACTCTACACTATGTACTATTGTGTGTGTGTTTGTATGGAGGTTTCACATTATGTATTATCTCTTGCTGCCTGACAGTATCTGTGTTGTGGTTGATGATATAATACCATTACCAATTTACAGTGTCATAATATCGCTTTACTTCCTTCCTCTCTTTCTCTCTCAAATCAGGAGAGCTATTTCTTTGTCGTTAGGCCAGGAGAAGGAGTCTATTACAATGAAATAGAAACCCGGTATGTCCAAGACACTATAACACCAAGCTTGTTAATCATACACTGTAGTATGCACTACCATGCAATGGATTCAAGGCTTGTAATGTATTACATTATGCATGTTAATCATCATAGGGGGTATTAATATCAGAGATAAACTCATGAAAGTGTATATATATATATATATACCTGTTGTAAAGGAGGATCATTGTACTAGAGAAAGAGTAGATGCATTTGATAGTATGTACCATGTGCATGTTAGATCAATGGATTGAGGAAACTCACACCTATACAATTAATAATTAATTATGCATGAAAACTTATGTTTGTATTTTTGTTTGTACATACACAAGGGAGCTTGTGTTGATCCTCATTGCTTCCTTATTATTAGATGGACTATCCATTTATCTTTCCAATGATGGTCATTGGAGGTCAATAGCAACCCTATATGTTAAAGGGAGTGTGTGTGGATGTGTGTGGTAAACTCTTGAACCTGGATCATGTGGCAGAATTCGATCATAAATGTTGCATGTTTCAATGTGTTGTGTGTGATCTTATTTTTTTATTTTACTGCCAATGATTGTGGTGTACTGTAATCACAAAATGGAGTCTTGCATCTTGGAAGTTATTGCTTTGTTTAAGAGATTTGACCTATAAACATGTATGTTACATGTTTAGTTGGCACTTTGTAGCAACTTCACATAAGATATTAATGAATTATTTTGAAACTTCTTATTTTCTGTATTAGGGTAAGACTCAACAAACGAAGAATGAAAACAAAATCTGCCATGAACTCAAAGCTACTGGTGAGACACAGAGAAATGACACAAGAGGAGAAATATGCCCAGGTAAGAAAGAGAGTGTGGATCCTGTTTAACTTATTTTATGTCTTTAGACTGTGCGACTCACACAGTTAGAGCCAGCTGTAGCCTTGGAGGAGGAGGAAGAGGAGGAGGAGGAGGGGGAAGGAGAGGAAACTCGTACGAGTGAAGAGGAGGAGGAGGCAGAGGAAGAAGGAGAAGAAGGAGGAAGCGACAAAGACGATGAGTTTGAGAAAGCTTTCAGCAGTGGAGAGGATGACTAGATTGCTAATAAAATATTTTTTTAATAATAAAGCAGCAGAAAATAATTAGTTGTAGTGTGTACACTATATAGATAGGAAGTTGACACTGACAGGCAACTTAATTCCGTGGGCGGTCAGAATCAGCTATAAAAATGCTTAGGCCTGCTGCTCGACCACAATTGTTAGCGAGGAGGCTTAAAAGTAAAGCTAGAGGCAAGATCTATCTAAAGTGTAATGGCTTCAGTGATGTCCAGTCAATATCCAGTAATGTCCTCTAGCCATTTATCCGCTGGCGGTAACAGCAACAGCTTCAGAGTCAAGAACATAGACGACAAGGGAAGAATAATACACGTAGGCTTCCTGGAGATACTACCCGGGGAGATTGTTTTCAGATACGAGCACCATCCACATCATGAGGCCAAATGGCCGCTACACACCATCAGAAAGTATGGGATAAACCTAGAGAGTAACGTATTCGCTTTTGAGGCTGGAAGAAAAGCGCCCGGGGGAGAAGGAGCTTTCGCTTTTAGGACAGAGGGTGTGCAAGCCTGCGAGATAAGGCAGAGATTGGACTATTTCACACATTCCTCTTAAAAATTGTCTTGTCATATAAATTAAATTAAACATCTCCTAATTTATTCTCCTACACTCCTGTCCTCTCCTCTCACTCCAAACTATGTAGGCTATGTAACAGTCATTGGTTCCTGTGTCCTAATATGTATTGTATTATAATAATTATCACTTCTGTGTGTAACTGTTCTTTTTGAAAAATAATAATAAATTAATTTATAACTTCACAGCAATACAACTATCAGCAAAAAATAACAATAAAAATGCGATAATAATAATATAAGACATAAAGTGATACATTTTTGTGTGTTGCAACGTATTAATTTAGATCTTACAACACAAATCTAATTATAAAAAATTCCACGTTTCCCTGTACAAAATATATTACACACACACACATCACACACGTACATGTGCACACATAGAAAGGCTATGCACAACAGCCGGAATTAGCTTTGGTTTGGTTTGAAATTTGGTGTGAAGTTAAATGTCCATTGCCATTACTCTCTAGTCCTATCACACCATTACCAGTGTCAGTTTGTTCAATATCATTCAAATCATCGAAAGGAGTCGAGTCTCTGATTTGTATACTTGATATCTGCATTATCTTTTCTATTAGAAAACTCATCGCCTCTTCTATTTAATGGAAGAACAAAGAGAGAGAGAGAAAAAAAAGTAAGAGTAAATTTATTTTAAAAATACAGATGGAATAGTAGTACGTACAAGTTAATAACTCTCTCCTCTTAACTCTCTTTCTCTCCCTTACCAATATTAGTGTTATCTTTGGCTGATGTTGGAAACCTACAAGTGAAGGGAATGCAGTAGATTAATGGCACGCTGCCCAGTGGCAAGTGATACTAATCATTTAATGGCTATAACTATGCATTGTTAATCTGCTTTGCAGTCAAAATGGCTAGATTTAACAAGTTCATTAGGACTGCTCACTTACCATCCTATTAAATTATGATCCTCGCAATACTGATCTAATTTAGACTGATCAACCTGAGCAGTAGTATTGTCCAAATCACACTATACAAAAAATTCTTTAATAATAATAATTATATTATGTATTGTTACTCAATCCCTCCATTCAACAAGAGGATAATTGTGTATAGCAGCTGCCTTGCAGGAACTTTCTCTCTCTCTCTCTCTTTCTTTCTCACTTTGTTAGCTAACAGCAATACAGGGACTGGCTCGTCATTCTCTAAGACAACCTTCTGCCGTACATCATCTAGCCACTAAACATAAAGAGAATGCTTAACAAGCAGATGAAACAGAAACAAATAGCACTATCAGAGATAAAATATGTCCTGCGGTAGAAAAACCCCTCGAAATGAGCTGATAAATAACAGTACACAATTGAAGACAAACCAAAAACACAAGCAATATCAGAGGAGACATTTTAATGCCTACACTTATAGCTAATGGGCATAATGTACATGCTCAGTGATTGAGCTGGGATATCAATTACCTTTTGAACAGCATCAAATGTTGGTTGCCTAAAATAAAATAAAGGGAAAAACAATATCAGTATTATCAGTATTGATAGGCCCCACAAGCAACACCTGTGAATACCACACATTACACAAACTAACCTGGTCAGATCAAAGACTATTATTGCAGCAATTCTATTATTATTAAATTAAATTAACAAAAGGTATTATATAGGATTTAAAAACGTACGCATATTTATAATAAACTCTAGTCATGTGTCCAAATCTCTCGTGACCAGCAATGTCCCTATGTAGATTGATTGATTGAGTATAATTATGAACCATTAAAATTACATTTATCACAAAGATCTGCTGATAGTGTGTATGGGTGGATGAATATTTATGTAAATTATATTATTTTTAAGCTCATAATGTGCATTCCTCAATAGTGCATGACTAGAGACACTTGCAATATTTACAAACAGGATGTGTTATTACTTATTATTAGCAAAAAGGTCAATGCTATAAAATGATATACTGACAATGACAGCTAACAACCAGCTCAGTATTTACTAATTTACTATCAAAAAGATAAGAAACAAACTTCAAAACAAAGCAAAGCTTGTTATTGCTTTCATTCCTTGTCCTTCTGTTTTAAAAATCCCAGAGTTAGGGAAAATACTGTTAAGTCTGTTATGCGTGTATCTATGGTCTATAGTCACATCAGTCTGCTACGTCAGAGTCATGAGACATAAGAAAGAGCTTTAGTATTGTCTATATTAATAATACAGAACTTTCTAATGCTAAGGTCACTTATAAGTGTGATTAGTCAAAAACCCAGATGCTAATAGTTCAACCAAATTTGGCTCAAATTTCCTGCTATCTGCCTATCAACATGTACACATAAGAGAGGAAGGACATTATTAGCACAAGGAGGGAACTCACCACAGCTGCATGTTAATCTTTGTATGCTCATCCCATATAAGGGTCTTGAGAGCAAAGTCAACTCCAATGGTTAACTTGTAATGAGGTGAGAAAATTCCTAGATTAAGCATATGATGATTAAATTAGAGGAGAGACTGTCAAAAACAAACCTGATGTGTATCTTCTGATGACAGAAGTCTAGAAAAAAAATAAAGATCAAAATAACATAATAGTTTTAGCAATGATGTCTTTTATAAATTACCTTGCCTGTTTAATGATCATGATGAGAGCGGGGAAAGAGTAAGTGAGAGTACAGAGAATGAGAGTAATTCACCGAATGTTATTATAGCAGATCACATGTTCATGCACATGTAAACTCATTCACTTAATAACACCACACTATAGATACACCTTCCTGCCCACATAAACTAAACCACACTCACCACACCTCACAGGAACAGACCCTCTTTTAAAACTCAAACGAATCACATCACACAAATCACACACACACTAAAGCACAGTGCAGGTGTTGCATCAGCCACACCTTTAATTACAAGCCACGCCTATAATACAATAAGCTTTTTAAATGATAGCAGTGTGTAATAAACACCATAAATAGACACTCACACCTGTGAATGAATGGAATCAACATGCTGCTAACATAGACAGTATACACTGACAATAAAAACAACTATGGCCTCATACATGAAATGACATGTCCACCCTTCCCTCTCCATATTCGTGCATGGCTCACCTACACCAAAGTTACCCACTACCAACACTTTGTAGAGTATCTCCTTAATCTCTGATGTCTTACAGAACTCGTCCTCTACTTCAGCCATCCTAGTTTACAAAGGGGCCCTTATCAATGGCTGCTGTGGCTAAAGGAGTTGTCTTGCAGGATTGGTGACAACGCCCACTTACAATTCGTGATTAATAACTAGACAAAAGTTTTATAACTACATTTACCGCCCATTGGCGCTAATTAATGTTTTTGCTTAGTGTATACTACAACATGGACACCAGTAAAACTGCTTTAGCTGTTCTCTGTGGTGCTGTTGGAGGCTGTATCTTAGGAGCAGGGTACATGCTATGGAGAGGGCATCACCACGGACATGGGCACGGGCCATTTACTCAAGGAGAATTTGAGAATATTTGGGCACACACTCAGTATGGCGAAGAAGAAAAGGAGCTGTTGGAGAAGACCATCTCATTCAAAGAGGGTTTGGAGTATTATTCAAAGATTTTTGAGTTGTGTAGCAAATATAAAAATGTACGAAAACATTAGTCTATGTAACTGCACACACACACATGACACCATGCCTGGGGCAAAAGGTTAACCAATAATTGTGCCTTTGCAATTTAGCAGTCTACACCCAGCCATTTTAAATCTGTTCACTTCCTTTAGTTTATTTTTTTATAAATTAGGAGAGCATTACATCCCGTGCCCTTGACATTGGTTGCTCATTGGGACGGACTACGTTTGATCTTGCTTTACTCTTTAATGAAGTGATTGGCATTGATACGTCAGTCAGTAGCATTGAGAAAGCAAACAAGATAAAGGAAGAGGGTCAAATAGCATACAAGTTTCTCATCGAAGGAGAAATCACCAAGGATTACGTTGGAAAAGTTAACCCTGACATTGTAAGTTTGAAAATAATTATAATGACCAGGCCTGCATGCTATATTTGATGATTTTCCTAATTTAGGATAGAAGCCGTGTCAGTTTCATTGTTGGTGATGCTTGCGATTTGCCATCAGACTTGGGACAATTTGGAATGATTATAATTCTCAACGCGCTCCACCACTTTCCTGATCCTAAAAAGTTCCTCCTCAATGTTCACAAGCTCTTGGTCTCTGGAGGGATCCTAATAATAGACGAAATGTACGTCTGGCATGACATGCTTGGCCTACCAAAGGTAAGGACTTAGCTGAATAAATAAATAAATAAATAATTCGATTACAAAAAAGCCCCTTGAGCTGATGTCCTTATACTGCTACACAGACAGTTTAGTTAATGAAGTTATGAGACTGTCTGCGAATGTTATCTAATATTTGACACCACAAGACTCAAGCGTAGTAATTAAACGTGCACTTTGTATTATTATTATCATTATCATTTATTATTGACACACTGGACTATAGGAATCAAATTTGTAAATGATTGCTGAAGGCCACAAGGATTAATTGCATAATTTGTATTATTTTTATCTTAATTATAGGATCGTTGGGTCAGTGGCTATGTTAAAGAGAATGGTGAAGAGGTACTAGGGATCGATGGGCTAAAGAATATTTTGTCGGAGTCCTTTGAGCTGTTGGAGACAAAAGAAATCCCATCAATTACTCGTTGGAAGACACGAATGTGCATGATAGGGTTTTCGGAGGGCACTGTCTGGAAAAGAAAATAATGGCACCACTATTTAATAGACAATTTCATGATTTTCATTAGCAAGCATTAGATTATGAATAATTATTAATTAATTAGAAGGCGTGGCAAATATTCATTTGGTGGGTGTGGTTAATAAAATGGCGGCTCATACTTCTTCAGTGGAGACTTCTTTGGCTATTCATATTGTAGAAGATCATAACGAAGTATTGGAGTATATCTACTCAGATATAGGAAAAAAGATATTACCTTTTACTGGGATCTGTCTAGTTCATTTTGACTCTCATCCTGACCTACTCGCACCTCAAGACATGCCAGCAGACAGAGTTTACGACAAAGAGAACCTTTTCGAGTCACTCAGCATAGGAGATTGGATCTTACCCGCCGTATACGCTGGTCACTTTACTTCCATTGTTTGGATAAAGCCACCGTGGTCTAATCAAATACCCACTGGGCAGCACATGTTATCTGTAGGGAAGCATTGCCAATGTGGATACCTGAGGTTAAAACTGATTGCGAATTATAATTTTAAAATAATATCATCTTTTAAATTTTGTATTGTAGAGTTCACCTACCTATTGCATATTATTTGTCCGAGGGTCTTTATGCTTGCTTGGATCAACTAGAAAATGTTAAAACGGTTCCTCTCTATGTGCTAACGCTTGATCTGAAGGAACACATTGATACCATTTCTGATCCTTGCATTACCATACAAAAACTCCTTGAGGAGTCTTCGGCATGTATCCTTGACGTTGACCTTGATTTCTTTTCTACCGTGAATCCATTTAAATTAATGTTTACAGAGGTACTGGATAGCCTAAAATGTTATACTTTATCACATTGTACCCTGTAGGAGCAATACGAGTATTTGAGCCACTTGTATGGGTTTGAGTTAAGCAAAGCTAATGAGGTATACTATTGGAGCTTCTCATGCATGTACTTAATCGATGTTTTAATGTGTAATATATGTGTAGGATGATCCCTCTGAAGTTAATGAGTCTAGGCTATGCAAACTCTCTTCTTTGTTGGATCTGTGGAGTGGAAAATTAGCAGACAAGAAGTATAATGAGTTGCCTTAATTATTTAACTTAGCGTTTTATTTGTAGTCTCATCGAAACTCAAATAAAGTCATTGATTGGGCAAGAAAAGAATGGAGACATAATAGAAGCTGATGATGTAGGTTGGCTAATGGCAGAGTTCCCCCTACAAAGCATGCTAAGTGAGCTTCATGAGCTGACAAGCACTACAGTACAGTACATGGCATTTGGTGCAACTTTTAAAATTCATAAAAAATCCAAATTTGATCGGAATCAGCTCAAACTTGATATACAGCATAGGAACGTGTATATGTATTAGAAAAAAATATCAAAATGGAGAATTCTGTCCTAGTCATTTTTGACGAAATTTGGCCCGAGACCAAAGGCTATAGCCTTTGGTCATTAGCCCAATTTTTGAACAGCTTTAAAAATTCATTAAAAATTCAAATTTGATCGGAATCAGCTCAAACTTAATACACAGCATAAGAACATGTATATGTATAAGAAAAAATTATAAAAATGAAGAATTCTCTCCTTGTGATTTTTATCAAAATACCCTGTACTATAGTACCAGAGTCTTTGGCCCAATTTTTGAACAATTTTAAAATCCAGTGACAAGAAACTGTATGAGCATAAAAGCAGGGCCTATGATTGACACCTACTAATACCAAGAGTAGATAAGTATAATAATTACTGTAGTGTTCTTATTACAGATACACATAGCTGGTATGATGACCGATCTACCACATCATGTCAGTGAACAGTCTGAGATTGTCTCTCTCATCAGAAAAATGAAAACGCTGCTAGCATGCCTCAAAGAATCCTCTATGCCAAGACTTGTTACCATTGCAAGGCGAGTTAACATCATTTATAAAGTATCACTGATATTACATTAGCTAATATGTATAGATCATCCAATGATCCTTATACACCTCAAGATCAAGTTGATAAAATACAAACTGCTGTTATGGACGCGTTGTCATCAATTTGGACGGTTAAGATGCTAACATATTCACATTATACTTAAAGGGACAGGCAATCTTTCCTCTTACTCCATCATTGGACTTTTACATGGGCTGGTATTGTCAATGCATGAATCTGCCATACTGGTAGCACCTTGTTGCAGCCAGACCTGTTGCAAAGGAATCGTACTAATTGCTGTTTTGTACTCTTCATACAATTTTTAATGTGTAAAAAATGTTTTAACTAATTGCATATTGAGCATCAATCAACAGGATTGTATCCACGCACCCTTGCAACTGCTATAGCAGCACACCACTGGCTTGGAGTTCATTATATTTGCCAATGGACACTGAGGGAACTAGTCTAACTAGAGCTGCTACATCAGCTCTCATTACTGGCCTAGCTCTACCAATCTACATACTGGCAATATATTTACCTTCTCTTGCTCTGAATGGATTCATTGTCGCTGCTTTTGTGTTCGACAAGAAACTTCACACTCCCTCTAATTTGCTCTCCGTTCATATTTCGATCATCGGCCTTGTGTCTTTGCTAATTTATAGTACTATGCTAATGTCAGCATTTGCTCTCTCTGTCATTCATTGTGACTGTGATTTGACCTACTGCAAGTGGATATTAGCTCACGTATTCCATTTTGCACTCTATCCTCTCAATATTACAGCAATAGCCATTGGTTACTGCCTCATACTCAAGTACTCCTCATCCGTGCTTACATTCCCTCGTGTAGTAACAGTTCTTATTGGTATATGGATAGCATCAGTGATTGGTAATGTTCCTACCGTATTCCTCGTTCCATTGCATGATTTTGTTACGTGCTGCGAAGGACTGTGTTTGAATGACACTTATGTTTGTGATGATTTGACAGGAGCATTTACTCCTAACTTGTTTAACGTTTCTTCACAGATTTTTTTCATTTTACAAAATATATTTTTTATATTCTTCCCTTGCGTCTTTGTAATTAGCTTCACGGCACTTTCATACTACATTTTCAAGTCCTCAATCTATCATCCAAACAACTCACTCAAGAGGAGAATGTTTCTTCTACCAATAGTAATGACGGTCGCTACTCTGGTCCTAATTTTTGGACAGAATATCATAAATTGGATGCCACTCACTACACATGCTCCAAATGTACCAGGAGACATTGTTCCTTTTGTTTTTGACCTAATATGGGATGTCAGTATGATTATTTATCCGATAATTATTTTATACTTTAACGTTCCTCTCCAGAGAAGCTGCCGGGCTATAATAAAGAAATTACTCTGTCCAAAAAACTGTTTAGTTCACGAACTAACGTAGACAGTTTCCGATTGTTTTTTTTTTGCTTTTTTTGAATTGGTACAAATATTATCTGCTGATTACATACAAGAGATTGAGCTTAATTACTTTTAAAATAGTGAATTCTTGTACTATGTAACTAGTAGACAAGCCAAAAACAGCTTTAGTGTAACTATGCATCCCCTCTCTCTCTGCCAAATCCTAATGATAAGGTGGAGCAAACTTCTGAATAGCTCAATAGATCAATGAACAATGGAGCCTGCCTCTCATAATGCAGTTCTCATCATTTGTCTGGCTCTCCCAATTTATTTTGTAGGAATAATCTTACCCTCTTTTGCTCTCAATGGAATAATTGTTCTGACTTTCGCTAGAACTAAGAAGTTACATACTCCTTCAAATTTACTGTCAGTTCATGTTTCAATAATTGGTCTTGTGACATTACTGATATACAGCACTGTCTCAATCCCAGCATTTGCCCTTGCCCTCATCAAGTGTGACTATGATCTGGTATACTACAAATGGATGGCAGCTCACGTCCTTCATTTTGGACTATATCCTCTCAATATAGCAGCAATATCTCTCAGTTATTGTCTAATATTGAAATATTCATCTTCTGTTCTTTCCTTTCTTTATGTTGGAGTCATAATCTTTTTTATGTGGTCAGCAGCAATAATTGGTAATGCTCCCATTCCATTTCTTGTTCCCTTTCGCAAGTTTGTTTCTTGCAGTAGAGAACTCTGTTTAAATAGCACATACGTCTGTTATAATTTTCATGGAGCATTTACTCCTAACTTATTCAGTTTTCAATCGGGGATATTTTTCCTTATTCAAGATATCATATTCATCATAATCCCTTTAATATTGGTACTAGTCTCTACAACGCTGTCGTACACCATTTTTAAAGCCTCGATTGTTCATCCGGACAATTCCCTTAAAATTAGAATGATTTTGCTACCGATAATAATGACTGCCACCTATCTGTTTCTCATAGTTGGTCAGAATATTATTAACTGGGTGCCGATTACTATGGACACAAACAATATGCCTAGAGACATTATCCCTTTGCTGTTTGGACTGAGCTGGGACCTGAGCAGTGTCATTTATCCTATTATCATATTGTACTTTAACATTCCTTTAAGAAAAGCATCCTGGAACTTGATACTAAGCTTCATTGGGAGAGCTAGCAATAAATGAATGACACTTCCATTATAAATTGTTGTCTTGTCAATTAATTGTCTCCATACGATAATTTATAATTATTTTTTTGTGTGGCTGGGTAATAGCCGGTTCATTGTAGGCAAGCAAATATTGATCGTATGCCAACCTTTACCAACCAAAGTGTAACGTGATCACAGATATAAATTTGATCACAGATATTAGAGGATATACGGAACTTGATCTAACAGCCAACATATGCACAAACACAGCCTGGAGTTCAGTATTATCTCACACCTCGTAATTCATGTTTACTCTATTATTTACTTGACAAGACTAATACAATGTATTATTTCATTTTTTTGCTTTAAAGTGGTCAAAAAGGCATATGTATATACTCTTTCTAAAGCCACTATGATGATGTGGTCATTAATATTTAGGCTACTAGGGATGTTTGACAATTAAGCTTTACTTTGTAGAATCCTATAATGCCATTATAAGTAGATAAACATCCCTCATGCGAAGCATCATTTCACATATATATCTATACATCTTACTCACAAGTATTATATTACTGGTGCACACACACACACACACGTACAATCAAAGTTCAAAGGAAATTATTGGCATGTCATCTGTTACTAATGTAATAAGCCTCACCCCACAGTCTATAAAACTATTTCAGGAACACACACTGATCAAAAGCAAGAAAAACAAACTTGTTCCCTTGTCCATTTCTATAGTTGCCCTCTTCATAATGACTTCTCATGGAAAATCAACTACCTCTGCTCTCATTGTTGGCCTTGCAGTCCCACTCTACATAATCCTCATATTCATTCCTTCTCTAGTTCTAAATGGACTCATTCTAATAACATTTGCTAAGACCAAGAAGCGCCGCACTCCTTCAAATTTACTCTCTGTCCATATTTCAATCATTGGCCTTGTTTCAATTCTTTTCTACAGCAATCTATCAGTGCCAGCATTTGCTCTCTCTGTCATCAACTGTGACTGTGATTTGACTTACTACAAATGGTTGCTAGCTCACATATTCCATTTTGCACTCTATCCTCTCAATATTGCTGCAATATCTGCCAGTTACTGCCTCATACTCAAGTACTCCTCATCCATACTTACATTCCCTCGTGTAGTAACAGTTCTTATTGGTATATGGATAGCATCAGTGATTGGTAATATTCCTACCATATTCCTCGTTCCATTACATGATTTTGTTACGTGCTGTGAAGGACTGTGTTTGAATGACTCTTACATTTGTGATGATCTCACAGGAGCATTTACTCCTAACCTCTTCAGCATCGAAAGTGAAATTTTTTTCATAATTCAAGATATAGTATTTATAATAATTCCTTGCATACTTGTATTTGTCTTTACAGCTGTCTCATACTACATCTTCAAGTCCTCAATTCTTCATCCAAAGAGCTCCCTCAAGAGAAGAATGTTCCTGCTACCAATAGTAATGACGGTGGCTGATATAGTACTCATAGTTGGACAGAATATCATAAATTGGGCACCAATTACAACGCATGCTGACATGGTGCCAGGAGACATTATCCCTTTGGTTTTTGGGCTCAGCTGGGATCTAAGCAACGTCGTTTATCCAATAATCATTTTGTACTTCAACGTTCCTCTTAGAAAGGCGTGCTGGAGCATTGTGAAATGCTCTCACGATCCAGAAGACGATTATGGGACTAC